TAGGCATTAGGCATTATAGCCTAGTACTCCAGCGTCAAATTCTCCGCCAAAATCTGGTATTTTTTTAGCGAACTCCTGACGTATAAGACGAATGCCCAACAAATGAGGAACGAGTGTTGAGACAGTGGCGGTTCTAAGGGGGGGGGGGGCCCTAGGGGGGCTTTAGCCCCCCCCCAAAAAAAAAATTGTTGTCTAGCCCCCCCCCCCCCAAAAATTTGATTTTCGGAGGTGTAAGTGTCCGGAGAAAAAAAACCGTCTACATTTCAGCACGCCTCCCTGCAAACAATTCTGGATCCGCCCTCCTAGCCCCCCCCCCCAAATATTGGCTCTAGAGCCGCGCCTCGCTGAGCATATAACTAGCGTCCATAGTAACGAATGACAGTTCTGACCATACCCCACCTGTGGGGTGATGTTCCTTTCGGGACACATCACCCCACTATTTTCACAATAGAAAAAACATCACCCCAGAAGAGAATCTTTAGAAAAAGGGATAATGGGAACACAATTCTATCACCCCACAATTCCGTCTGGCTGGAGCGGACGCACATGCGTAGCGTCCATCCAACGAATGCTGAACGTACGCAACGAACGGCCAACGTATGCCTAGCGTGCATGCTGCGGCCGGTCGGTCACGTGACGTGTCTCCGCTGACCTATAAATACGCTCTCCAAGTCCCCGTCGTCACATTTGTTAGCCATTCGTTAGACAAACTCCTTTGGACATTCGCAATATGACAAAGATCCTTGTTGGACGTAGCCTATAATGTCCAAACAGCTGACGAAGAAGCAACCTACACCCAACGTGCGAAACGTTCACACAGCGAATGCTCAACGTATACATAGCGTATTGATCACTATACGTTGTCGCCCGCTCAAAATTTTGAACATGTTCAAAAATTTTCCCAGACCCCAGCGCACCTCTGCGAACCGCTAACGAATACAACTCATATGGAAAAGTTTCATGGCTAAAGTCTCAAAAAATCAGTTGTGTGTCTATGTGACCTTCGGGACACGCTACGCGTGTACTGAATGGGTCAATGCCCAATCATGCATTATGCATAACTCCTATGTGTAGCAAGTATGCATTCGTCCAGTACCGAAGAGTCCATTGTGACAAATGGGTAAACCGCAACGCGTAACTCCAATAAACAACAGGTGTTTACACAGGCCTACACATTGGAAACATCATCTTTCTCTATGGCAAAATACAGGACATAGTGAAAAACACAATGAAAATAAAGCAACCTGAAAGAAGATCTCACATGAATTTTAGCCATACGAAAATCCCAAATAAGTTACGGACACTGCTGGGCTTGCAATCATGCACTTGAATTGACCACGCCACTGCGCGCGTGCCGAATGGTATTCCCTATATAGTAATGGTACGGACCACCTTCACTGCACTTCACTTCTTCGACGAATTCCTTCAATTTCCTGTGGAAAAACCGTATAAGTTCATGTAAGATAAACACTGCATGTGGCAAAAACATAGTAAGTGCCAATTTCATTTCATATATTTCATATTTTTCCGTTCAGAGAGCATAAAATACAGCTAATCCAGTCACATCCACCGCGCGGCTAGCTAGAAGCTTGTCAGTGGACATGACGTCACGCGAATGTTATGCTAATCCCAGCGCTAGGTCACGACGAATACCATTGGATAGCAGAACGATGGGCTTCAAGTTTTCTTTCATTCCGACGACATTTCTCAGCCAATCAAAACGAGTTTTACATATGATATGGGGAGGTAACTAACGCAGAGAATGCCGGAAAACCCACTGTCATTGCGTAATGCATTGCCGAGTTACAGCTTCGCAAACTTGCCCCATCTGATGCGTGAGGGTAAAACTGCGTGTGATTACACTGAAAAAGGACGCTCTGGTCCCTCGTAAAAGCGTTTTTAGAAAGCTGGTCCGACGACACTGAATGCTCTATTCGAGTGAAATTTTGGAATTTCGTAGGAAAATATATAGAGATTGGAATGCCGGGCGACCCCGGTTTATAAGTTTTTTCGTTGGGCGACTAAAACCATTTTTTTCACCGGTGGACCGGATTCGGAGCGACTGCGGCTAACCCGTTTTGTGTGTAACACGGAAACACGTCCATATCGGTGTAGCAAAAGAGACTACTTTTCCATATGATGCCAAACGTGTCACGAACGAAAGACAACTTACACGAACGTACTCCCAAATTTCCAAAAACGTTGGGCACACGTTAATAATAATAATAATAATTTAAATTTATAATGCGCCTTTTGCATATAAATAATCAAAAGCGCATTACAGAATCAACAATAAATGTAAAGTACATCATAGTGAATAAAAAGACAGAAAGATTACGGTATTATACATGTATAAAGTCATGACACCGCGCCAGTGCCCAAACCGCAGTATGGGGATACGGTGTCTCGCCAACAGGGAGAATATATTACTTAAGCCTAACCCTGCTGCCATCGGTGATGTCTCGATCTTTCCCAGACATAGACGCCTCCAACCCTACCTACGAATTAATTAAGCATCATCAATTAAGCTACCCGGCACGGTGACGCTAGAAATAGGAATAAGATGCATTAAAACCCTTAAAAATACATTAATTTACAAATGCTACATTAAAAAGAAAAGTTTTTAATTTACATTTAAAAGAAGCAAGTTTGTGTTCACTACGTATGTGCCATGGCAAGGCATTCCATAGCTTAGGGGCTGCCGTTGAAAGGCCCTGTCACCGAGTGTGGGTACTTTGCCGCTAGGATAGTCCAAAAAGGGTCCGTTGTTCGCTGATCGGAGATGGTATCTGGATTCTTTCCTAGCAGTAACGAGATCCTGTAAGTATCTTGGAAAAAGGCCGTGAATGGCTTTGAATGTTAATAAAATAATTTTAAAATTAATCCTGTATAAAACATTATAAAATATTATGCAGTTGATGTGGGGGATTTAGGCTGTGTAGATTCACTAACGACCACTGTCTGTTAGTGGCGCTTGTTTAACAGGTTACTGCAAACACACATATGTCTTATGTTCATCATTTATTCAACAAACTGTCGGGATTGTGAGTAATCTTTATCTCCAGAGCATTGGCACAGTTACATGTAATTCTCACTTCTCTGTTAAAAGATAATGCTCACACAGTGATGATCTCCAATATCGCACAGTACATGAAATGCCTCCAAAGTCGTACACTGCAAATGTTATACACTCTGTAGTTTGCTGTACTAGTCAACAAGACACTTCAGGTGGCCATGCATACAGTCACGCGACAATGTAGTACGATGAACCTTCGAAATATTTAACAGTCAAACAACACAAGAATGATCCAACGATAACGATAAGCGAATATCCCCCCGAATATGTGATTTGCAAATTGCATGTAAGCGACGAAGAAGCGACCAGAAAGCGACCAATACAAAACCAAATGGCAGTTCTTACACAGCTTAATCAAAGTGATCCTTACTCAGCAGGCCGTGGAGGCAATTATCAGCTAAGTTTGTGGCCTCAAATAACTACATTTCTCCAGAAACGAAGTGATTTCTCACAATAATTCTTCAGCTTTACTTACAAGATTGTAAACAAACGTTCATTCATAAATTTTCGTCCGGAACGTTCCGGCCCCTTAAATGCGAACATTAACAAGTGAACATTTACAAATACTTAAACAATAAACATACAAAACTTAAGTACCACTGACTCTCTGGCAACACATAAACTACATATACATTTGAGATCAAAGTTTAAAGACATCTGTCAACTGGTTCCGAACAGTATATCTCACAAAATTAAGATAAATCAAAATGTAAACTGTCTCTTGGGCTTTGTGGCAGAGTAGCATAAACGTGGTGAATATTGAGATTTTAAGAGTAGAGCATGTCGTACACTCCCAATCAGGAGGCATTATTCTGGCCTTCAATCCTGATTGTTTAAAATCTCAGTCAGCTGACTCAAGCAGGCAGAGCTTGTCGACAGGTCTGACCACAATGTTCTGGCGAGTCTTCACCTCAGCCGTCCTCACAAGTCCATCCTTGCCTGGAAATGTCCTCGTGATGAGTCCCAAGGGCCAGTTCCTCCTTGGTGTAGTCTCCTCCATGATCAGTACAGTGTCTCCTGCAACCACGTTCCTCTGGGGATCTATCCACTTTCTCCTCAGCTGTAGAGTTGGGAGATACTCGCGTATCCAGCGCTTCCAGAACTGATCTGCAAGCAGCTGCACATGTCTCCAGCGCCGTCCATACGCATCCTGCTTGATGAAGTTCCCTGGAGGTGCAGGCTGGCCAGCTCTGAGCAGCAGCAGGTAGTTTGGGGTCAGAGCTTCTGCATCATCGGGACTGTCGGAGACGGGAGTGATTGGGCGTCCATTCACAACGGATTCCACCTCGCAAAATAAGGTGTCCAATCGCTCATCATCCAGCACTTGGTCCCTGAGCACAGAGTTGATGACCTTGCGTACTGTTCTGATTTGGCGTTCCCAGACGCCCCCCATGTGTGAGGCCGTCGGAGGGTTGAACTGCCATTCAATCTCGTTCAACAGGAGGTACTCTTTGGTCTTGTTGCTCTGATTCCACTTCTCGATGGATTCTCTCAGCTCCCGTTCGCCACCTACAAAATTCGTCCCATTATCAGACCGCATCCTCTTGGCATTCCTCTCCTTGCTGAAAACCTCACCAAAGCATTGATGAACGAGGCCGAGTCCATCTGGTTGAGCTTCTGAATGTGTATGGCTCTCGTCAAGCATGTAAACAAGCAACCATATCTCTTTTCCTGGCTGCGTCCCCTCTTGACGAAAAAAGGCCCGAAGCAGTCCACTCCGGTACAAGTGAAAGGAGGGTCTCCGGGAGTAACTCTGTCTTTAGGTAGGTCAGCCATTCTCTGGGCACATGTCTTTCCTCTGATCCTCCTGCAGACAACACAGTCACGAAGTACTCTGTTGATGAGTGGGCGCGCTCTAGGAATCCAAAAGCGCTCCCTCGTCAGGCACAGCACATACTCCCTCCCCGAGTGTGCTGACTTCCTCTCATGGTAGTGTCTGATGATGCATCTCAGCTACATGGTGTTCTCTGGGTACTATCAGTGGGTGCTTTGCTTGTTCTGTGAGTGGCGCCATCTTTAACCTCCCTCCAACTCGCAGCAGACCATCATCATCCATCACAGGGTCCAGGCTGTATACTGCGCTCTTCCTGGAAATCGTCCCGTTTGTTTTCAAAGCACGCACTTCCTCACCAAAGTGCTTCTCCTGCAGGTGTGCAATGATTGCCTTCTCAGCTGCCTGTACGTCGTGAACCTGTAAGGACACTTGTGGTTCCTGCTGTCTGTGATTGAGGAGCCACACCTTGAACCGCAACAACCACGCCACTATCTTCTTCAAGCGATGCCAGCTCGAATACCTCTTCAGCAGTGTGTTGATGACATCGTCTGGAGCAACTGCCTCCACAGCACAAGTCTTTGCCTCATGCTTGACTTCCTTGTCATCTTGGAGCAGGTCCGGACTTGCTTCAGGCTCCACTGGCCAAGCTGTCTCATCCGCTGACAGGAACGCCGGCCCCTGTTTCCATCTTGATTGGCATAACATCTGCTTGGCATCAAGCCCTCTGGAGGCGTCATCTGCTGGGTTAGAGCGTGTATCCACATACATCCATTGAGCTGGCAGCGAACCATCGTGAATGACATTCACTCTGTTGGTGACGAAGGTCTGGAATCTTTTCGAGGTGTTCTTGATGTATTGCAAGACAATCTGGCTATCAGTCCAAAATGTGGTACTCTGAACCTCCAGCCTCATTTCACGTTGCAGAATACTGTCCACCCGCACTGCCATGACTGCTGCCGAGAGCTCAAGTCGTGGAATGGTCATCGACTTCATGGGAGCCAGTCTTGATTTTCCCATCAAGAATGAGGTGTGGATATGTCCCCGGTTGTCTACCAGCCTGATGTAAGATACTGCTCCATAAGCAACCATAGACGCATCGCAGAAGTGATGTAGCTGTACACTGGTGGGTGTCCCAAACTCTTGAGGTACGATACACCTGGGAACACTGAATTCTTCCAGCTTGGGTAGACCCTGCAGCCACTTCATCCACTGCTCAAGGTTTCCTGGCTCTAGTTCGTCATCCCAGTCTTTTCCTCTCTTGCACTCATCTTGGAAGATCTTCTTTGCTTGGAGCACAAATGGGCACACGAATCCAACTGGATCATATACAGAACTCACGATGCTCAGAAGACCTCTTCTGGTGTAACCCTTCTCTTTTGGCTTTATTTTGATACAAAGAAAATCCGTGTGTGTGTGTCCCAGTGCACTCCAAGTGCTCTCTCAACAGGTAGTAATCCATTGTCCAGGTCGACTTCTTTAGCGCTCTTGGCTCTTTCCTCCAGCGGGATGGATTCGATGACCTTCCGACTGTTTGACAACCATTTGGTTAGCCGAAAACCACCCATAGATAGCAGCTTGCACAGTTGTTCCACCAACTTCATGGCCTTCTCGTCATTCTCCACTGACTTCAAGTAGTCATCTGCGTAGAAGTTTTCCATCACAGTGGTGATGACTTCATAATCAAATTCGTCCTTGTGGTCTTCAGCCGTTCTGTGGAGAGCATAACTTGCACAGCTCGGGCACCAAACACCTCCGAAGAGATGGACTGCCATTCTGAAGACTTCAGGCTGGTTGGCTATGTCTCCATCTCTCCACAACAAGAATCTCAGAACATCTCTGTGGGATGGAGTCACCTTGACCTGGTGAAACATCGCCTCTATATCACCCATAACTGCTACTCTTTGCTCTCTGAACCTCACCAATACGCCAATCAGCTTGTTGGTCATGTCGGGGCCTTGCATAACATTCTTGTTCAGAGATGTTCCTGCATATTCAGCAGCACAGTCAAAGACTATGCGGAGTTTCTCGGGCTTGTTGGGGTTGACCACATTATGATGAGGCAAATACCAGGTCCCACCTGGCGAAGCATCAATGTCACTGCTCAGCACACGTTCTGCATATCCCTTGTCCAGTAGATTCTCGATTTCAGCCTTGTATCTATCGTGCATTTCAGGGTTCTTGGCAAGACGTCGTCCAAGACTCTGCAGCCTCTTCTCAGCAAGGGATCTGTTATTTGGCAACTGTGGTGGCAGAACCCTGAAGGGGATGTCCATCTGATAGTGCGTGTCAACCATAGTCAGAGAGCATTCCCACACATCAATCACTTTCTTGTCATTGACAGACATCTGAGGAACGCGTGCTGCCAGCACTTGGGGTGTGTCGAGCTTCCAGAACTGTTCGACTTGGGCATCAAGGCTGACCTCTGGCTTCGTGCATGCTTGTATGAAATTGAACTCAGCCTTCCCATGGTGCAGCTCCCCACCGATTGGTCCATTGACGGTCCATCCAAGTGCAGTTCTCGTTGCATAAGGCTCGTCAGCATTGCCTCGTCTCACTTCCAGCGGTATCAATGCCTGTGGAACGTCTTGTCCCACCAGTATGGTGACTTCAGTCTCGTCCATCCGGGGTATGTCAATGTCTTGAAGGTGCTGCCATTGTTTTGTGTCAGCTGATGTGGCCACACAACTCTTCAGCTCTGGGAATTTGGCCAGGGCATACACTCTCGGTAGTTGGATGACCTCCCTTTTCCGCATCTTCCCAATGGTTCCAGTCACCTCCAAAGCCACCTGAAAGGCTTCAGCATCGCTTCCATCATTGAGCGTTTCAAGGGACAGGTGGTTGGTTTTCTCTCCCTCAAGGCCCATCTTGTCGAGCAGAGCTTGGGAGCAAAATGTTTTGTTACTGCCAGGATCGAGAAGTGCATGAGTCTGGACAAAGCTGTGTTGGCCTTTACCTCTGACATTCACCGTCACTATGGGCAGGACTACCTTCACTGGTTTTCTTTCAGAAGGACCGCATACACAGCTTTTGGCACCCACGGTTGGTGAGTCAGCCTTGGTTCCACCTCCACCCTGTGCATCCTTCTGAACTGTCACACTGGTGGCATACTGCATCGCATCATGCAGCAAACTGGCATGTCGTCGGGTACATCCCTCTTTGTCACAACCGCTCTTCTTCCTGCACCATCGAGCTACATGGTTACTTGCCAGCAAGCAGTTGAAGCAGAGCCTTTTACCTTTCACCACCTCCATTCGCTTCTGCGAAGACATTTTCTTGAAGTCATCACAGGCGTCAAGACGATGATTTCCTCTGCAAAGATGGCACGGCCTTGACTGTCCGTCTCTCCCTGATGATGTACCAAACTTCTTATTCGACTCTGATGACTGTTGTGTCATGCCGACTTTGGCATGAACATTGAAAGTTGTCCCTCGCCTTGGATTTCCAGGTCTGCTTGGTGGTTTTGGGTCCTTGTACTTGGTGTTTAGGGATCCAAATACGGGGTCATTGGCCTCGTTGGCAGCCACATTCAGGAATTTGGCCAGCTTGTTGATGTTGGGGTAGTCACCAGTTGCTTCAACTGTCTTCACTGCCTCTTTACGCCATCTGGACTGCAGGAAGAATGGTAACCGTTCCACAACTTTTACCATCCTCATACGAGAGTCAATCTCATTGAGCTTGTTCATGGCTTTAAGCGTCTCCATGCAGCCTTGGACATCATCAGCAAAATCTTGCAGGGCTTCGGCACTGTTCGATTTGAGAACAGGGCCCTCGCATACTCTGTCGACCCAGGCCTGCGATATCTTGAATTCATTGCCGAATCTCTCCTTCAGGAGTGTCCGTGCCTTGGCATAACCCTCCGAGGGTTTCATCATTGCGCATGGCTGGATGACGCGAGCTGCTTTTCCCTTGCAGTACTCGAACAGTCTGTTCAACTTGGCTCCATTGCTGACAGACGAGTTCCCCACACAACTGTCGAACGAGTTCATGAACGCCCAGTAGTTCATGGGGTTGCCATCAAAGGACATCAAACTGGTCTTCGGAAGGTTCATAACATCTAACATCTGACGCTGCAGTGTTAGGATGACACCTTCCGGTTCCTTTGAGGGAGTCGGCCAAGCCTTCGCAAGTGGTTTTAGCTTGGAGTTTTGAACGTCGTTACTCCTTGGACAGTCTGTTGTCGGTATCTCTGCTGCAGCATTGGTGGATAAGGGTTGCTGAACTGGTAACCCTCCTTCACCACAGTCTGGTTCCGAGTTCAAGACTGCATGATCACCAGTGGCTGCCTGGTTCTACGCTTCACCGTTGTGCAGTGGGGGGGGGGGGGGGGGTCAGTGAACTTGGCTAATGCTTCCTCCTCCGCAATAGCTATCTCCATCTCTGTTTCAAGCTGCAGGGACTCCATTGCAGCTTTCTGTTTCAGCAACTGTTCATCCATCTGGATTTTCTGCTTCAGTTGCTCAAGCTCCAACTCCTGCTGTCGTTTCAGGAACTTGGCCTTGACACGGAGTGCTGCCCTTTTGGCTGCAACCTTGGCTCTGGCACTTGATGCGGTCGACCGGGCTATGTGCTATGTTGTCGTTTGGGGCTACGTCGTCTTTCAGATCAATGACCAGTTCACTGTATGTATTGCGAGCCGCCTTCATGAGTTCTTCGATTTCATTGAAGTCTTCTTCATATTTCGGCAGCTTGTCCTTGTCCACCTCTGATGCTAGGCGAACACAGTCTGCATGGACTTCCTGATATTTTACAACTGCAGACTCTAATGAGGCCAGTCTATTTCTAACAGTCTCCAAATCAAGCTTCGTGTCCACAGAAATGTGGAAATCTTTATATTTTCTTTTAATGTTCGAAGCATGGCCACCACGAGATTTATGGAGCTTCACTAGCCTTTCCCTGCTTGATGTTTCTTGGTCCAAACTGTCGTGCAAACTCCCAGGGTTACTCATCTTTGCTGTTGATAATTATTCACTCACAATGCAGCTTAAAGTTACTTACAGTCACAATAGTGTACAGTGTTCAGTTAGTACACCTTTGGTTTTGTACGGAAAATGTGGGGGAGTTAGGCTGTGTAGATTCACTAACGACCACTGTCTGTTAGTGGCGCTTGTTTAACAGTTTACTGCAAACACACATATGTCTTATATTCATCATTTATTCAACAAACTGTCAGGATTGTGAGTAATCTTTATCTCCAGAGCATTGGCACAGTTACATGTAATTCTCACTTCTCTGTTAAAAGATAATGCTCACACAGTGATGATCTCCAATATCGCACAGTACATGAAATGCCTCCAAAGTCGTACACTGCAAATGTTATACACTCTGTAGCTTGCTGTACTAGTCAACAAGACACTTTAGGTGGCCATGCATACAGTCACGCGACAATGTAGTACGATGAACCTTCGAAATATTTAACAGTCAAACAACACAAGAATGATCCAACGATAACGATAAGCGAATATCCCCCCGAATATGTGATTTGCAAATTACATGTAAGCGACGAAGAAGCGACCAGAAAGCGACCAGTACAAAACCAAATGGCAGTTCTTACACAGCTTAATCAAAGTGATCCTTACTCAGCAGGCCGTGGAGGCAATTATCAGCTAAGTTTGTGGCCTCAAATAATACATTTCTCCAGAAACGAAGTGATTTCTCACAATAATTCTTCACAAACTAACAAGCGACATGTCTCGTTTCACTTCCGTCCGTTGCTTGGTTACTGGAAACAGCGCCCTCCATCGGCACTTACAAGATTGTAGACAAACGTTCATTCATAAATTTTCGTCCGGAACAGTTGACATAATATTGGTGTTATTGTGTTCGAACCTGTTTGCGTTGGTAATTAGTCTAGCGGCGGCATTCTGGACCCTTTGTAATCTTGTTATCTGTGTCATTGGCAGACCGTACCATAGACTGTTACAATAGTCCAGATGGCTGGTCACAAATGCGTGGCCCTAACTCCCTAGGGGGTGTGCAAAATTATATTGAAATTGGAGGATTCAGGACTGTTAGGGTTAACATCGAGAGAGAATCATGAGACAGGAATTTACTAATGCGTTTAAAACTGTGAAGGTGGAAGAATGCTGCAGAACAAGCCTTGGTAATGTGGGTATTCTTGTCATTTCCGAGTCGAACCATGACCCCAGATTTCTAACACATGTGGTTGGGGGGATATCAGAATTGCCCACAGTGATATTTGAAATGTGTATTTTCTGCAACTCTTGCCAAGTTCCAATGATCAAGAACTCAGTCTTGGTGTCATTGATCATAAGTCTGTCATGCAACAACCGTTTCCTGATGTATCAGTTGAAACTCTCTATCGCAGCTACAGCTGTTTGACAGGGGGTATCATCAGGTCTAAACCTGTGTGTCATCTGCATAACAATGTGCATCAGGTAAATGGTCTTCAATGGTGTCAAACAATCTGGAAGCATAAACGGTGAATAAAAGAGGTCCTAAACAAGATCCTTGAGGAACACCACAGTTGAGATCAAACCTCTCTGACAAAGTACCTTGAATAGACACACGTTGGCTCCTGCCAGACAAATAAGATGAAAACCAGTCCAGGGCCTTGCCAGAAATGCCAACTTTGGACTGCAGGCGTTGCAGAAGAATGGTGTGGTCGACGGTATCGAAGGCTGCACTTAGGTCTAAAAGAACAAGCAGAATAACATGCTGGGAGTTCATCTTCAGCAGAATATCATTTTTGACCTTCAGGAGAGCCGTCTCGGTACTGTGATACTTCCGGAAGGACGATTGGAAAACCGGAAACAGGGAGTGTCTGGACATGTAACAGTAAAGTTGGTCACACACTGCTCTCTCGGTCAGTTTAGATATGAATTGTAGATTACTAATCGGTCGATAATTTTCTAAAATCAGGTCGAGGTTGTCTTTTTTTAACAAAGGACAAACCAAAGCTTCTTTCCAATCCTCAGGAAAAACGCCAGATTCTAGAGATGAATTGATAATTCTGGTAAGTACCGGAAGCAAGACCTCAAGGCAATCACTCACCAGCTTGGTAGGCATTGGATCCAGCACCCGATTTCATCAAGTCTTTGTAACTTACGATACATCGCAGCGCTGCGACGCGTCGTATCCCTACGATGCGTCGCAGCTGCGACGCGTCCTGCGATCCATTTCACAAAACACGTCGTAAGTGCCATGCGTCGTAGGTGTATTTATAGCACAAATTGGTGACTGTTTCATGTATTAAGTCAGAGTACAGTAAAAAAGTCGTCTGATATTCAACAAACAGTCGTCGGATCTCCGCTCAAAATTTGTTTAAACGTAACAACAAAATGGCGGTCGTGCGATGCAATTTTGAAGGAAAACAAGCTCTCAGTGGACTGTATAGCTATACCTTGAAATTTCAACTGCAATATTCCAGTCTAATTCATAATTATTCAATGAATTTTCTATTTACAACTTTACACACATTACCTCGGTATTATAACCTCGTTCATGTAATGTTTATGGCATTAAACTGGCTAAGAAAGGGACTCTTCTTATTTTGCGATGACCACTAGACACGTCGTAACTTGCGACGTGTTTTAAGCCGTTGTCAAGGAACTTACGACGCGTTCAACACATCGCAACTTTTGTGAAATGGATGATACGACGCGTCCCGAGTTGCGACGTGTTACACGCCGTAACTCGAGTTGCGATGCGTCGCAGCGCTTCGTGAAATCGGGTGCAGGGCCGGCACATGATTTCTTGGCAGATTTCATAACAAGTTGTTTAACTTGTGACTCAGTTAATGGTCGAAATTGGTCGAACAGGATGCTACTGGACAACGTTTCCGGTACTATCGAATGAGGTGCTCCATCTGTTGTGGCTGATGCTACATCGTCAAGTCTAACATGAATATTAGATATTTTATTGACAAAGAAGCTACCCATGTCATTTGCAAGTGAAAGTTTATTGGTGAATGGTGGAAAGGGAACATCATTCGATTGCCTCAGCAGCTTTTTTGATGCTCTGAATAATTTCCCCTGATTGGAGCTGTTACTATCAATACAATCTTTGTAAAAATTGCAACGAGCTTCTTTCATAAGAAAAGTGACCTTATTTCTTTGAATCTTATATTCCAAAAGATCACATATGCCTTGTCAGTTCGCCGCCACTTCCTTTCTGCCTTTCTCCTTAGCCCCACTGCTGACTTAATTTCTCGATCAAACCAAGGCAGACGGGGCCTAATGGTGACCATCTTAGACTTCAATGGGGCACGTGTGTTAAAGGTGCCATCTAGTGTAGTTTTGTAACACTTGACAAGCTCTTCGAGATCATGAGGAGTATCCATACACTGCTTGGAAGAATCTAGGTCGGCTTTCAAAGAATCAACGTCAATAGATTTGACATCCCTATAAACAATCTTTTTGACGGGGAAGGGTGGTTTCTTTTGTTTCAAGTTACAAAGAACTGATAAGTGATCAGAGAAAAGATGGTGTGTAGTAGGAGGACTGTCCAGAATTATCTCTGATTAACGGGTAATAACAAGATCTAATATGTGACGCATCTCATGCGTAGGTTTGTTGACGTGTTGCTGGAAACCCATAGATTCAAGAAGCACTAAAAAAACGATTAGTCTGGGGATCATTAGGAACGTCGACATGGATGTTGAAATCTCCAGTTATTAGAACTGGCTCAGGTGATTAAACAATTGATTCTAAATAATTGGCAAAATCACCAATAAACCGATTAATTGTAAAAGGGTGGTGAACAGAGTATGGTGGCCTATAGATAATCACCAGTCGTCGTTTATAGGAATTAATCCCTACAGACCATTCAAAATACTCAAATGTGTCTACTTCCCCTGCAGCGATTTTCTTAACATGGAAATGTTCTCTGAAAACTAAAGCAGTACCTCCCCCAACTCGATTCTTCCGAGGATGATCCAATAATCTAAAACCAGGGGGAGTGGCTTCAACCTTGTGGGCAACATCCATCTCTGTAAACCATGTCTCTGTTAGAGCAAACAGATCAGCTTTGCTGTTAGTAGCATATTCAACAAAATCTGCTGATTTATTTTAAGAGATCTTGTGTTCAAGCTACAAAGTTTCAAAGGATTATCAGAGACGTCCATAGAATTTATCACAACAGGAGTAAGAACAGAGACACGGTTTTCAGAGACAGTTTGGAAATTATGAACATGATCCAATCTTTGACCAAGATGAACAGGGATTTTACATGTGTACCTACGACCTGACCTCCTTCCCCTGGACCGAAGAATCCCATTTGCTTTCAGGATTTGAAACACTTCAGTCTGAATAGGGTAGTGACAGGTCTTTCGAATTCCGAACAGCTGACTACGGGTATATGTTTTAGTTTCATTTGCAGGGAATTCAGAGCAGAACAGTTACTAGTGTTGCTGGTGCACATTGTACTTGTGGGACCTGGATTGACCGAAATATCCATCAATATTGTTATATCCTGCGGAGGGTCGTAACCGGGTATTGCTAGGCTGGTTTGCCCTAGCCCGACTGCGTCTGGCCGTACAGTACTATCGCAAGCTCTGTAGTACGGCCAGACGCCCGATGCTTCCACAGAGACTGAATTTTGTTGGCCGCCGATGTAGCGATTTTGCTACATCTTTCGATCGCGATTATCTTTTCATCCAGGACCCAAATTTCCAAAGTTAAGGTTCGTAGTCGTAGAGCAACTCATACCTTTTCGAAAAAACGTTGTTTGGTCTCAATATTTTCATCCATCTGGCCACAAGACGAATTTCAGTCATCAGATTCCACAAATATCGTCCCCCATGCGATCCCCCATGCGATTTCAAAATGGCGGCCGCGCTGTAATGTATGCAATATGCAGGCGCGCCCGCGCAAACTCATGAATATGCATAAACAGTCTGTGACGTATGACCTCGTGTTTTTGGACGTGCGGCCCCGCCGCACGCACGTCCAAAAACACGAGGTCATACGTCACAGACTGTTTATGCATATTCATGAGTTTGCGCGGGCGCGCCTGCATATTGCATACATTACAGCGCGGCCGCCATTTTGAAATCGCATGGGGGATCGCATGGGGGACGATATTTGTGGAATCTGATGACTGAAATTCGTCTTGTGGCCAGATGGATGAAAATATTGAGACCAAACAACGTTTTTTCGAAAAGGTATGAGTTGCTCTACGACTACGAACCTTAACTTTGGAAATTTGGGTCCTGGATGAAAAGATAATCGCGATCGAAAGATGTAGCAAAATCGCTACATCGGCGGCCAACAAAATTCAGTCTCTGTGGAAGCATCGGGCGTCTGGCCGTACTACAGAGCTTGCGATAGTACTGTACGGCCAGACGCAGTCGGGCTAGGTTTGCCCATGCTGTGACCATTTAGCTAATGGCACCTTTGATGAATTAAATCCCGTACGGCACAGTCTCCATGTTACTCCAAGACGAGGCCCTGATTTCACTACAAAGGGAACTTGGAATGTGCAAAGATGTAATCTTTCATAGTGCTCTACAGTGCACCGTTTGCGATTGTTTCGGCATCAACAAAGAACCCAACCGGTTGCAAATTGTGTTGAATAGAAACAACACAGAAAAGCACTACGAGTCGAGCACAGGCACAATGAATGTAGGCGGCCATGTTGAATACACATAGCCAAACAAACAGTACTTGACCAAGAATAAAATCCACACATCTAACTATCATCTACGAATAAAAAGAAACAACTACGATAGTATAAAGCACAAATTTCTTACCAAACACAGCAAACACAAATCAAATAAGCCTTCATTCTTGCATAGCATACATAGCAGCTACTGCAACTAAGTTCGTACCGTAACTAATCAAAATTGCTTATGAATTATTGAAAAAAAAACGTTGGATATTTGCTTTAAATGTGGCGGTTGCTGTGATCATTATGTTCTGGGCGATAGGGAATAATGATACCTCACGCAAACACATTTTTTTTCTTGACTTTGCTTGTCTTTTGTTGATAAACTATAGAGGTATTTTACTTTGTTTCAAGACCCTAGTATAGTTAGTGAGCTGGTTAAACAGCTGAGTGCAATACGAATACTCTTTATGGAGAACATTGACAATAAGATGAAGACCCAGGAATGCTAAAGATAAAATATCCAAAATGTGGCAACTTTATTCAACAAAAGTGTTTTGGCCTTTCTTTCTTTACGTTTTGATTGCATTTGTAGACTCGATGGACTAGAATTTGAAGACCTGGTGGGGTACTTGTAGTCTATGTAACAGACCATGGCGGACGATATGTATGGTGGCTTTAAAGGGACATCGCACATATATATTGACGCCAATATTGACGCCAATATTCACGACATGGCCTAAGTCGCAAACCCACTCAGGCGTGAATATTCTCCTTTTTTTTTTTAGCAACCTAGGTAGGCAATTCAAGCAAATAGTCTGGCGCACCCTACTATACAGTACACACGTTTTAATATTGTGTTTGTGTTAGCGCGAACTTCTTTCGCTGCAAGGATACAGACGTCCAATCAGTGTGACCGTAAGGTCAGAGCCAAATTCTGCTAAATGCACATAAAAAATCTGTCAGATTTATCAAAAATCTGCCAAATTCCCCAGAATTACTCGAAATACACTATAAACACTTAAAATCACATGTAGATTGGTAGTATTACCTTAATTAAAGTTCAAATCACATTATAAACAATCTATAGTCACATAAAGATGTTATGAAATTATCCCGTAAATTTCGGGCAAAACGCTAATCCGGCCACGACCACGTTTCCCAGTGAACTTCAGCACCTAGACCCAGAGTTGTAACGAGTCACTGATTTTTGTGACTCGAGTCGAGTCGAGTCATTTTAAAGAAGTGACTCGAGTCGAGTCGCGTCATTTTAAAAGAAGTGACTCGAATTGAGTCGAGTCATTAGGTCAAAAGGTCGGGTCGAGTCGAGTCGAGTCAAATATTTAGCTCGAGTCAATTCGAGTCACGATTACTTGAACACTTTGTATTATACCAAAATTTATAAAAGGAGGCCATAACAAGCGTAATAATCCAAAAGCTTTATAAGAATTGCCCAAAACCAATGATGAAACAGCGAATTAGAAA